AAAGGCTTTGACTGTATGTACTAACTAAAAAAACATGGAGGACATCAAAGACCTCTAGATTATTAGATCCTACAGCTTGGCCCAGGATCAGGCAGTGTTTCGTTCTGCTGTGCATAAGGTCGCTATGAGTTGGTACCGACTTGATGGCACCTAACAACAACAACAACAGGTTGGCCCTTTAGCCAGGGTACCTTCCCTATTTTAGGGCTGTGTGGGGTACTGCCAAGCTACTGGAAACCATATCAGATGTTTTGCTGTGAAATGTTTTAGATGTCTATGTGCCCCATCTACTACACATCTGTGAGACTGGACACTATGCCACCACTATTTTAAATACCAACAGGGGCACATAGATTTCAGTGGAGCTTCTAGATTGAAACAGTCTAGGAAGAAGGAAAGGCAGGTTACTTCTGAAAGATCAGCAACTGAAAATCTTATGGATACAATTTTAATCTCTTCTGCAAAGAGCATAAAAAATGGAACTTTACTAGTGGACCTTCTAGATGCTGTATCACTCCACCTCGAAATGTCCTATGACGAGAACACAAGCTCCCCAAAGAAAAGGAGTACAGCAAACTGAAGAAATTACAGGAAATAACCTTGCTGATATGGAATCCAAACAAGTTACTGCTCAAGTTATTTCTGCACTTATGAAGGGACTCCACACATTTGTCTATTGATAACACCAACATTCAATAAATTAACTCTTGAAAAACCCTAAAGCACCAACAATTAGCCCAAACAGATCAAATTAAGGTCTAGAAAAAGGGATCCTGAAACGAAACTGGGAATGGTCTTATCTAATTTCTTCTGTGTTACTATTTCCTGCATGATGTAAGCCTTATATGAAGGTTCCCACATGGGACAAAATAAAATGATTGAGACCTTAAGAAAATATTGGTGGATGATGATTTTTAAGGCTGCTGAACATGTTGCTACCCATTGTCCTGACTGTGCTTCTTATAATCCAAGAAAATACCTTGAAATTCTACCTGGACAATAGCCTTTACTTTCCAGGCCTATGATTGAAGGGCTATTAGATTTTAGTTGACTCCTGTCCTCAAATGGTTATACATATATGTCAGTACTAATTTGTAGATTTTCCCATGTTGTTGTGCTACTGCAACATTTGTAGGAAAGAAATTTCTTGAAGATATCATACCCACCTGGGAAGCACAAAAAATTCTTTGTTGTGATCATGGATCTCATTTCACGGGTCAAGTCAACCAAGAATTGTGTTGAATTTTTCCCCATTTATCATAGGCTACATTGTCCCTTCCATCCTCAATCTTCTGGTCTAGTAAAGAGAACTAATGGAATGATGAAGACCCAAATAGCAGAATTTTATGAAAATTTAAACTTATGCTGGACATATTGCCTTAGGCAAATCTGCTGCACAAGACGTCTTTAAAGTGTAAAAGAACAAAGATGTCAGTTTGAGGACTAAGGTGTGCCCGACGGAAGCCATGATATTTTTGATAACCTCATATGCATGTGAAAATTGGACAGTGAATAAGGAAGATGGTAGAAGAATTGATACATTTGTATTATCTTGTTGGAGGAGAATATTGAAATACCACAGACTGCCTAAAGAAAAAAACAATCTGTGTTGGAAGAAGTTCAGCCAGAATGCTTCCTGGAAAACAGGATGGCCAGACTTCGTCTCTCATAATTCAGACATACTATCAGGAGGGACCAGTCCCTGGAGGTTAACATGTTTGGTAAAATGGAGGATTGGAGAAAATGTGGGAGACCTCCAAGGAGATGGATTGGCACAGTGGCAGCAGCGATGGGCTCAAATGTAGCAACAATTGTGAGGTTAGCCCAGGACCAGGCAGCGTTTTGTTACGTTGTACATAGGGTTGCTATGAGTTGGTACCGACTTGATGGCATCTAACAACAACAAGGTCCTTCCATAAGTCATTTAAATCTGAGGTTTATACCATATGGATTTCTGATACTTACCCCTGCTGAAATCATGGAAACCCATAATCCTTCCTTATGTGGTTTGCACAAATCCTAACATTGTTCAACCTAAATTACTGAAGTATTTCCAGTTTTAATCAAATATTCTAAAGAATAGCTTTCATAGATTAGAGAAGCCTTAGAGGAACAGAAATTCACTCCAAAATCAGCCTAACATTGCCCCAGGATAATAATAAGTATATTGAAAGATACGTCAAACAAAGCTTCATTAGAATGTCCTTGGCAGAAACTATGGAGGGAACTTCAAAAAGTTTGTGGAAAAATTCCATTATCTCATATTTCCATTATTCCATTTTGAAGCCCCTTCCTATTTTATCCTCCTTATGAATGCATATGCTGCCAAATTAAATGATAGAAAACCTTCTATTTCATTTGTAATAGTTAAAAAGGGCTAAGATTCCTTTTAGAGATTCCTACTTACTAGAGACTTGAAAGTTACATTTAAATTCCTCTGTAGAAGACATCTGAGGCAGATGACTGACCCAAGACCCTGAACCTGACCTGAAAATTCACCTCTGTTTCTTTTTACCTTTTTTACAGTCATGTCTCTACTAATGTTTTTCTAGATTGGGCAGATGCCTATGCTCACCACATTAAAAAAGTCATTTGTTGGATATGTGTGTCCTCTCAATATTACGTCAATCTGACCTTCCCTAGTGGGTCTCTCCTCTACAGAGAGATCTGATTGGGTTGCTCTACTCTATGGAGAAATAATTTATTACTATAGGAAATCACTATTACTAGATTTTCTGTGAATAAATGGCCTCTTTTGGGATCTGAATGACATCTAGACTACAATTTAGCCTTTAATTTTAACACAACCCTTGCATTACTAAATAAAGTTTCTGAAAAAAGAGCTAATTAAAGAATCTTCTAGATCCACAAACAGTATTCCTTGTATTGTAGGCCTATATCAACAACCTCAGATGGGTCAACTGTCCAAGCAGGGAAGCTAAGTCAGATTGCTCTTCTTTGCTGGGAACAATCTAGCCACCCCCATATGAATGGCCCAGCTGTCATCAGGGTTATGGATTATCCTCTGTGTTGGAATGTGCCTTATAAATTACTGATTGGTTCACCAGCAACTGGTTATGATAGCTAGGTATTTACTGTGTAGCTCCTAATAGTACCTTTTGGCTATGTGGAACCAATCTGTAGCTCTGGCTCCCACCAGGCTGGATTAGAACCTGATTTAGACTCTGAGTCTGTGCTGGACTCAAACATATTTTAACTGAATTTCCTTTGTCAGTTTATGTAATCCAGATTAAAAGTGTTCCATTTGCTTGATTATCCAGTGGTAATATTTACACCTTATGTAGGACTGGAAGATACGATAGAACATGTAGAAATATTAACCAATATGTACAAATTAATTTAGATGACAGTGACCATGGGTTTCAAGAGATCAATGCTAAAATAGCAATGATGAGAAAAGTAACATTCCAAAATAGAATGGCTCTTGGCAGTCTCACTGCAGCCTGAGAGAATAACTGAGTCAAGTAAAGTCTGGTTGCTGCAGCTCTATTTCTGACAATAGTGCTAATATAATACTCTGTGTTAATTTTATGCAGTTTGTAGTATCTCGATGTAATAATCCTATTCCTTCCAGAGCTGAAATCATGATTAATTAGTTTTCTTGGGATAGATAGTATTAAAAAAATTTCCTTTATTTTGAAATCTGTATTTTCCTCTTCTTTTCCATTATTGCAATTAAAAAGTGCTTTTTGCTTTAGTTCAATGCATTTAATTCATGGAATGTTGTATTTCAAAACCATTTGACCCTTCACATAAAATCATACTTATTTCACAGGCTTCCCCCCAATGGTCATATTGTTTAATCACTTTCCTTTTGCCTTTCTTGACCTCTACCTGACTGAGAAATGTTCTTCACACATGGCCTTGTTCACCATAAAACCTGCTCACCCTGAAGATGAAGGCTACTAGCTTGGCAAGGTGAAAAATATTTGCCATTAATCAAAACTACTCAGAAAACAAAGTTCTTGCAGAAGAAAGGTTATTCCATTTTGGGTGGTCAGTGCCTTCTAGCGGAGGCTTGATCAAAAGGGGGAAATGTAAAAAGAAAAGTTTCAAATTAGAGGTACTTCTGTCAGATCTAAGAATGGTGGGATCAACATATATTCCCTGGAAGCAAAAGTTTGGAATATAAATCATTTGTTCATGAGAAGAATGTATCAAGATGTAAACAATTATTCCCAGTGTGCTCATGACTGCAGTCATGAACCATGGGTGCTACTCACCTAGGTAATAACTCACTTCCTCCTAGCAGGGGCTAATTATACAATAACTAAAAGTTTAAAGTTGGGTTTATTTGTGCTTACTTTCTAATCTGTACTGAACAAGTTTAAATGGGTTTCACCATAGCTTTGAAACTCCTTGTCTTTCATTCCTAACAGAATATGAGATTTTTCTTCTTTGACAAGTTTTATCTGGCTTTATTGAATTCAAAAGAAAATATCAATTAAGCTGGGCATTAAATATATGTCAATAGTATCTCAGGGGATGTTACCAAATACCATATAAACCAATTGGGTGAAATAGTAATTTTTAATATGAAATATTAGTAATATGTCATGATTGTGCACTGTTCAATGAATATATAGCTGTATAATTATTAGTCCTGACACAATGACAGTTGTTATTATGTCTGATGCTTTATGCAAAGCCTTGTTTACCTTGACCAACACAGATGCCAATGATCTATATAACAGTATTTGCTATTCTCATACAGTACAGGTGAACCATGTATACTAAATCCATTATAGAGAGACAAGTGAAAGCAAAAAAACAAACAAACACAACAACAAAAAAAACCACCACCAACAACAAAAAACACAGTATAAAGATAAAAAGGAGATGAACATAACAGCAAACTGTTAGTATTAGTTAGTTTGTAACTGTTTAATTTTTCCCACATGCTCTGTTAACTTTGTTAGCTATAGAACATATGCCTTTAAATGGGTTAATCTTCGTTCACACTTTGCAAGCTTATTTACCACTTATAAATGCAGATTCCTCTTGAAAGGTGCTTCTCATCTCAGCTGCAGAAGCATCTGAAGTTGCATATCCTAGGCTTTTAAAAACTCTTTCACTCTCCTGCCATGTATTTTGAAAATTCCTCTTGAGTCCTTTAGGTGAATCAGAAACATCTAAAATATGCCCAGCGATGACATCTTCATAGGTTGGTGGGGCATGCTTAAAGTCAAAGCCAGATTTGCTGGTTTCTGAGCTAAGTGATGAAGAGGCTGCGGTCTTAGGCCCAATTGTACTTTCAAATGCATCCATGTCTGAGAAATGCTCACTTAGAGACATTGTTTCGGAGCATATCCTCGGCTGTTTAAAAGGATTTTTTCCTTGCAGTTCTCTGGGATTTCTGCAAGAAAACCCCCTGAAACTTGAGTTTTCTAGAGATGTTAATCCAAATTCCTCATTACAAAATGTACGACTTTCTTGCTTTACACTATGGTTTGCTTCTCCATTTGCATAAACTTTTCTATTTGTCATTGCTTCAAAAACTGGGTCATTCTCAAATTCTCTGAACCATTTGTTTATATCATTTTCATGGGCATTTACGAAATTTTCAGCCATTTGAACAGTTCGGTTGGCTGCTTCGTACCTCTGCGTGTGCCCTGACAGCCGAGGCACTTCGACCTTGCGGATGATTTCTACTGCATCAAAACATTCTGTATCTGGTACCATGTGTAGAATGGAGTCGGTTCCATCTTTGTGACTGTAAGTTGTTCTTTTCTCGACTTTCTTAACTTCCTCTTTTGCTTCCATAGATTCTCTGAATGAACCATGAGCACCGTGATTGACACTTACGGGTATCGTGATTGTAGCTGGGGAGTCCCTACCACGAGTTTCTATCTTAATCTGACGACGCAGAGTTGCAGGAGACGTGATGATCTCAGACCGCTTCTCTATCATTGGAACCGGGGTTCCTGATGGACTTGGGATGCTTCCTCTGGATAACTTTGCAGTGGTGTCCTTGAGCTTGACAAGTTGTTCAGAGCGACTTCTGGGTGGAGATGGGGATGTGCTTGCTCTGCGGGTTCTAGATGCTTGTGATACGGGCCCTCTTGGTGGTGGTAGTTCAGCAGACTGTTCCTTTTTAGGAGACTGTGAAAACTCATCCGTTGTTGGAGTTTGTGACCGTCGTGCGATAGACTCAATTGTTATAAAAGTAGGCGACTGTGGTCGTGTTTTTAAACAGGAAGGAGACAATTTGCTGTCATCTAGTTTAGTTTCCTTATGGGTGTTCACATGACTGTGAACAATTTTTGCTTCATGATGAGTTGTGTTTTGATGGTGCGCTGTTTTTTCTTCCATGATTTTATTTTCTTTCTCCTCAGTGTTTTTCTTGTGGCTGACACTGACTTTAGACATTTTAGATGTTTCATTAATACTAGTAGGTTTGTTTCTCAGATTTCCTGCTTTAGAGGAGATCATGGCTGTTTGAATTATATTCTCACAGGACACAAGCATATCCTCTGCTTGAGTTTTAATATGCATTATTTCTTCTTTAATTTTTTCTAAATTATTCTCCATGGCAATGCGAACACCATAGCATCTTCTTTCTTCACTTATCAGCCATACTGGAATAATATTTAGTAGTGTCTGAAATGTTTTAAGACCATTTTTATTTGGCTCTGCTTCAAACTGTTTCACTCTCGACAAAATCTCCTGTAGTTCTTCACGTTTTCTCAAGAATTCCAATATATTTACAGTACATTTTCCATCATCCTGCTGAGATTCTTTCACAGAGGAAAATAAAGATTTGTTCTGTGTAATCTCTTGCTTTGAATCTTTAGTATTAGAGAAGACTTGCTTCTGTTGCATGCCCTTGACTCTGAGACATTTTTCTTCTTGCAGACTATTATTTGGCTGGGACAATTTTTTATGTTTAATGTTCCTTTCAGAAGCCTGTATTTGTGTTTGCTGAAAATCCTGAGTCTGTGAATCATGATGTGCATCAATAACCTTTTGCTTGACTACGTTTGGTTCTGATTTATTCTTCAAGTGTTTCTGTGTTCTCTCCACTATTGGTCTTTCTTCTTTTGGACCAATCACTGGTGGCCCCTGATTTTTTTCTTCATTTCCTGAAAGTTTCCAACGCTCGGATTCTATCCATTTTCTTTGCTTCTCATTGAGCTTACTTTCTTGGGTCTTCCCCGGGGGCTCTGAGGGCACTTTTATTGTCACTCTTTTTGCCTTCTTAGGTAATTGACAATATTTTTCAGTCACAGTTTGCTCACTACTACATTCAGTGCTTGCTTCAGTTTTCTCACTTTCGTGATACTGTTGTTTAGTAACAGTTTGAACATTAACTTCGTGTTGTTTTTCATGGCTTCCATAGCTGTAGTCTGCTTGATTTAATTTGGAATCTAAAGTTGGAAGTTTGATAGATTTAACTTTGAAAGTTGGGGGAACTGGCTTGTTTGGGGGCAAGTGCAGTTGCTCCAGATACTTCTGTTGTGTACTATATTCTTGGTGACTCTCTTTTAATTCACAAGCTAATTTAGATGGTATAGTGTCCCTTGAGTTCTCTAAAACTTCTTTTTTAATGTTATCTTTATCTTCTGAAGCTGCTAAAACATGTTGAAGCCTCTCGGTAGCAATTGACACAGTTGGTGTTGTAGAGACTGGGCTATCTGTGCTAACTACTGTTATTGGAGCATTACTTGGAGAATCGGAATTACATGGAACCACCATGGTCTCTGAACCCTTCTCAGGTAAAGGAAACTCCTCATTTGTTTTTTGTAATAGCACTTCCTTTTCCAACTCTAGTATGTTTTGATTTTGGCTTTCGCTTTTGACTGTTTTGTAACAAGAACTCTCGTGTTTCTGTTTTTCAAGCTCTTCTCTTTGCTGTCTGTATTTTTCTTCAGCAATCATTAAAGGGGTCTTAAATTTTCTCATATAAGGTTTTGGATTTTGTTGTCCTGAGCCCACTGGAAATGAATGAGATTTCAGAAGAGGTGCTACCTGTTTTTCCTTGGGTGGTGAATTTTCTGGAACTGTTTGTGAGAAAGATGTTGTAGACTTGACAGATGAATGTTTTCTTTCATTGAGACTTTTACTAAATATGTTCTGGTTTGTCTCTGTGTGCTCAGTGCCAGTAGGTATCATTACTCTCTTTTGATTCTCTGGGGGAGTAATGTTACATTTTATATTTGACAGGGAGTTGACTGATTCCTCTTTTTGGGAATGATGATTCATTTTGTCTTCCATCAGCTTCTGCTTGAAAAATTTTGGTTTGGGTAATGTTGGAGGTGGCAAAAGTCTGCCAGATTTTCCTGTCATGGTTTTGGTCTGAGAGTGAGTTTGCTCAGAACTTGAGGCTTCTTCTTGGGAATACTGCTGACTGAATGTACCACTGTGTTTTTCCTGAATAGAAGAAGAAAGACATTTTTGAGATACAGTTGGGGGCGGTGGAGAGGGTAGAAATGTTGATAAGCATTCTTCCTCAGATTTCTCATCTACTGGTGGTGGTGGAAGAGGGAGGCTTGGGAAGCTTTCAAATTCAGCTTTTATCTTCTCTGTGGTCAGTAAAGAAGGAAACATGCTTTTGTCAGGTAACATTAAAGGAGGTGGAGGAGGAAGTGGAAATTCTATTTCAGATGATGCATTGGAAGGTGGAGGAGGAGGTGGGGATGGAGGTGGCAGGGGGCTCTCACTTTCTTTCACATTATTCTCAGGGTTAAAGTTGATTGGATTAAAGGACTTTTCCATGGCCATTTTTAAGTCTGTTGAAGTATGTGTCTTTATTAGAAAGTCCTGGCTTTTCAGGTGGACATCAGTCTTTTGCTTTTTGTCGTTTGCTTTAAATTTATTGTTTATTTTTTCAGAATTTTTAACATTTGATATGTCTTGATCTGCAGGCAAAGGCTGCCACACTGTTTGAAGGTTTGTGTTATTTTTCTTTATATCCTTATAAGAATATTGCATTTCTTGCTTTAACAACCTTTGCTTCTGAAAGTCTTCCGCAGCTTCACAAGTTTCCCTAACTGACGTGCTGACTGGACGCTGGGTAGAATTGGGCTTGGAGCTGGCTGTTTCTGTTGATATTTTCACATTTTTGTTCATTTTAGGGCTCTTTATATAGGAAACCTCAGCCTTCTGGTGGTCATTTCTCAACTTACAGGTTTGTGTCTGATGTTCTCCAACTGCTGTATCGGTAGACTGGGTGGAATTTAAGACATCTTCCTTCTTCAGTCCTCCCACTGTTGCTGATTCCTTAGTGTTTAGGTTCTCCTTAACAGAAACAGTTGAAGTCAATTGTTGGCTCATATGTAAATCTTTCTGATGCTGTTCTTTTGCAGCATCAGTCCAGACACCTGTTCTATTCCTCAATTCCAAAACATTTTCAATAGCTTTGTGCTGTGAATTAGATAGCCTTCTAAGACTTTTCTCAAGAGCATCATTGTTCTGTTCACGGTCTACGACAATCTTTACAGGACCTTTGGGGGCTTTGGGAAGATTAATCTCAGTCCTTTCTTCTATTAAACTATCATAACAACATTTTCCAGTAGTTTGTTTGACTGTGTCTCTGTCACCTTGCCACCTGACTGCTGACTCCAGTGGTCCTGGTCTTGGCTGAAGTACACTCTTTTTGTCCCTGTGGATATGCACCTGGCGCGTGTCTGATTTCTGCTCTTCCGAGACTCCCACCATTACAGCTTGCACATCTTCTTTGATTACACCTCCTTTATTGACTTCTTTGAAAGGCCTTTGTGCTTCTTTCAGAGACCTTAATGACGTCTCAAGGTCATCTCGCATAAGCTCTTTTTTCAGGATTTCAGTCCTTGTGATTGCAGCTTTTTCAAGGCTGTTAATAGCCTGCTCAATATCATCAGGAATGGGATTAGGCTGTCTGGCTTCTGTCCACTGGTGGCTTGATTCTTCAAGTGACTTGAGTGTGGCCAGCATGTCACCTTTTACAATTTCTTCTGTCTTAGCCACTGTTTTCTGATTTATGACCTGACTGGGGGAATTTAAGGTTGATTTCAAATCACCTTTTATAATTTCTTCTTTGGATGTCTTACAAGGTACACTTTGAGGCTCTGTCATAAAACACTTAACTGTATTACGCACGTCTTCTGGGATGATGTCAGTTTCATTAACAGTACGTTCAATCTGAGACTGCTTTCTCTTTAGTAGTAGTTTTGTGCCCTCAGCATCACCACTGGTGATTTCTTCCTCTTGCTTTCTAGCTGTTAGTGTTTCATTTGCCCTAGTTTGGAGTTGTTTGAGATAGTCCAAAGCTCCAGTCTCTATGCATGTTGTAAATAACCGAACATTTCCTCTTTCAGAGGCATCAATTTTAGCCCTTTCAGATATTATATTGTTTGTTGTAGAAGACAACAAATTATGAATGGTACGTTTTACATCACCACCTATCACTTCTTCATGTTCACATGTGTCACCTTCATTTTCATGAAAAAGACAATAGATTGTCATGTTAATATCTCCTCTTTCATCTTCCTGAATCACAATGCCTTTCTTGACAGATCTTTCTTCAGCAAACAGGTTTTTTATTGCTTGTTGTACATCTCCTTTCACTACCTCTTCTTTCTCAGCATGAAATTCTGTTGATCTGTTCAATAATTGAGTTTTAGTTAAATTAACATTGCCCTTCTCTTCTTCGCTAACCCAAATCTCCCTTTTTGTACAGTCTCTTCTAGAAAGTAGATTTGCCATTATATTTCTGAGATCACCCTTGATAATTTCTTCTTTCTGTATCTCAGGAGCTGCTTGATTCATGAGCTTGTATTTTGCCATTCGGATATCCCCAACTTCATCGGCTTCAATGATGATTCCAGGAGCTTCAATAACTTTTTGAGAGTAGAGCTCGTTTAAGGTTTCTTTAATGTTCTTTCCAATTATGTCCACCTTTTCTACCCTATTTTCATTAAACTCATGGAGTGGTGTTGTTTCAAAGAGCCATGTAGTTGTCTTGACATCAGAAGAAGGGATTTCTTCCTTAATTATTTTTGTGATGCTTTCATTTATTTCCTTAATAGAATCTAAAGGTTGATTTTCAAAAAGCCATACTGCCTGTTTGACATCACCTTTCAGTACCTCTTCCTGGGTGACTGTCTTGATATTTTCATATTCAGACCCTTCTCCTCTCAGTTCATCTAAAGTGTGGGTTTCAAATAGCCAAGTAGATGTTTTAACATTCCCCTTCTGTATTTCATTGACACTTACTGTTCTTATAAAAGTATTTTTATCCACATTTTCAGACTCAAATAAAAGTTTATTGGTCTTTACATTCCCACCTTGAATATAGTCAATGGTAGGCACAATATCATGTGATTCTTCAGAAATCTTATCCAGTGGCTGTGTTTCAAATCTGTATCGGACAGAATTAACATCTCCTTTCTGAATGTCTTCTTGTGTGACAGATTTAATAATATATACAGTATCAGATTCATTAATTGAGTCTAATGGTTTTGTTTCAAAAAGCCATCTGGTTCCTCGTACATCTCCATGAATTACCTCTTCCTTTTTAACTGTTGTCACTTCATGATAGTACCCTTCACGGTCTTGGATTGCATAGAGTGGCTGAGTTTCAAACAGCATTCTGTAGCTTTTCACATTACCCTTTATTACTTCTTCAGCACTTGTTTCCTCAAGGCTGGTATGGTCACATTCTTCTTTAATCTTATCTAGAGAAAATGTCTCAAAAATAAAGCACCCCTTTTTAACATTGCCACCTTGTATGTCTATCACAGTCTTAAATGATTCACCTTCTTCTTGGCTTTCTTTTATCATATCAATTGGTTGGTTTTCAAAAAGCCATCTACAGTTTAAAACATTGCCTCTTTGAATATCTTCAGTTTTCAGGGTTTTGATCTTTTTCAAAACTTCCTCTGAACTGGAACTTATGGAATCTAAGGACTGATTTTCGAATTTATACCGCATACTGGAAACATCACCAGCTTGGATATCCAGTTCCACAGACTTGACTTCCTTCTCTCCTTCTCCTTGTATACTGTCCAAATTTTCTGTCTCAAAAAGAATACACGCTGTACGAACATCTCCACCTTGGATCTCCTCCTGTTTTACAGTTTGCAATTTGACTGTTGCTTCAGAATCATCTTTTATAGTATCAAGTGGCTGAGTTTCAAAAAGCCAAGTACAGGTTTTGACATCTCCCTTGTGAATTTCTTCACTATCAGTCGCTAATGAAACTTTTTCATAAAGAGACTCCATTGGCTGTGTTTCAAAAAGCCATCTGCAGGTTTTGACATCCCCTTTAACAATATCTTTAGCTTCTTCAGTTTTATTTTCCATTTCTTCCACATTACTAAAATATTTGATTGAGTCAAGGGGTTGGGTTTCAAACAACCATTTAGCAGATTTTACATTTCCAGTCTGTATTTCTTGAGCAGATATTCCTCGAATAATCTGAAACTTATGAATGCTTTCATCAAACTGGTCAATGGGCCTTGTTTCAAAGAGCCACCTACAACTTCTCACATCACCTCTTAGGATTTCTTCTTGCTGGACAGTTTTTACTTGATGATATTTTCCCAGGTGATCTTGAATAGCATACAGTGGCATGGTTTCAAAGAGAGATTTACTTAACTCTACAGCTCCTCTTGTGATTCCTTCCACCTCTATTTTATGTGATGTATCAAGTTTAATTAAATTTTCTGATTCAAAAATCTGTGTATAATTCCTTACATCGCCTCTGTCAACTTCTTCAAGCTTCACTGTTCTTGTGTACTCTTTCTTGTCTTCTCTAATTTCTTCTAGGGGTTGGGTTTCAAAAATCCATTTCTGGTGCCTAACATCCCCCTTTTCTTCTTCAGCGGCAGTAATTTTTTGAAGCTTTCCAACATTAGGACTATCTTTTAAAGCCTCTAATGGAAGTGTTTCAAATAGATGTTTAGTAGCTTGTACATCGCCACCTATTATCTCCTCAGGTGGGAGCGGATCTGTATCAGGTACTTCTCTGAGAATGTCTAATGGCTGGGTTTCAAACATCCAACACTTTCTGGACACATCCGTGCCTATTATAATTTCCTTTTCAGTAAATACTTCTTCTGTCTCTTCTTTGATTTTCTCCAAAGGTTGGGTTTCAAATAACCACTTTGCCCTACTTACCCCACCTTTGACATTTTCTTCCATGGATATTCCTCGGACAACCTTAATTTCTGTGATATCTTTATTAATTGTGTCCAAGGGCTGTGTTTCAAACATCCAACGTGCTGTTATCACATTGCCCTTTTCAATATCTTCTCTGTGAACAGTTTTAATTTCTAGCATTTGACCTAAACCATCTCTAATGACATATAAAGGCTGAGTTTCGAAACATTTTATACTTCTCTTCACATTTCCTTTCATTTCTTTGAGCTCAGACCTGAGTTGCAGTAAGTGTGCCTCATCCACTGAACGGAGTTGTCCAAGCTGATCTAGATGTTGAGTCTCAAACATGTATCTCACAGTCTTGACATCACCCCCAGTGATGTCCTTAATGGTACTTACTTCAGATTCTTCTTGACTTTGATGCATTTTATTCAGTGCATCTAAAGGCTTTGTTTCAAACATCCATCGAACTGTGCGTACGTCTCCTCTAGCTAGCTCAGGAATTTTCTCAGCATTTTCTTCTGTGCCAGAAAAACGAACCCCTAGTGTATCTATGGGTTGGGTTTCAAACATCCATGTGGTATACTTCACATCACCACCGGCTATGATTTCTTGATCAGCAATGTCCTTAGGGAAGCCATCTTCATCTGGAGAGCCATTATTAATAGAATCTAATGGCTGATTTTCAAAGACCCATCTTATAGACTGAACCTCCCCTTTCAGAATTTCATCCCACTCCATGTGTTCTCTTTCAGCATTTAGTACTTTCTGAGACTGGTCATTCGTATTTTCAAAAACAGATCGGGCTTGTTGCACATCTGCTGAAACTGAGCTTCCTGTATTCACTTGACTAGAAACAATTTCGGAAACCTCATTGATATAATCTTTTTCTAAGTTTTTTCTTAACTCTGGATGGATGTGTTTATATAAACGGTTTAATTCATACAAATTTCTTTGCTTGCAATATAATTCTTTGGGGACTGGTGGTCTTCTAGCAGGAGTAGGAAATTCAGGGGACTGGGAAAATGCTGTCACATCTAGTGGAGTTTGAAGTACATCAAGTGGGGGAGGAGGAAATTCATCTGTTTGTTCAGAAGAACTGACATTAGCTTGTGCCAAAGTCGAGGCAGTAACACTGTGATTACTGTATCTTGTAGTTGCCATTTCCTTTTTCTGGCTGGTTGAAGAACAAGAAGTTGAAGAGGTACCAACAACTGAAGATGGCTTTAAAGTCTCTTCATATTCATTTTCAATCTTTAGGGGAGATAAATCAAATCTTATGAAGGTGAGTGTAGAGACAGGCTTTCTTTTACTTTAACATATATCAGGACCCTCTTATGACACTTCATTGGGAATAGCAACGGATATACTTCATTTGCAGACATACTTAGGAACAATATTCAATGTTGGTTGCTATCTTTGCTACAATCCTTTTGCACAACACATCAACTACTAAGTATTTTAACATTTATACATAATCTTGATTTCCCCCCTTTACTTAATGTGCTATGCAGAGTAATCTTGAGGGAAACAGTAAAGGTCTTAAAGTATTTTTGAGGGTTTTTTTTTTTTTTTTTTTTTCTTGGAATTTAAAACAGAGCAAAATAAGTATTTGACATTTAAGTTTACTTTATCTAATTTACTTCTAAAGGTATTTATTATTTTATCTAATGTTACCTTGGAGCTCTGGCAGTGTAGTGGATTACAAACTGAGCTGCAAACCACAAGGTCAGAAGTTTGAATCTTCTAGCCTCTCCATGAAGGAAGGATAAGACTTTCTGTTCCCATAAAGATTTACAATCTCAGAAACCCTTTACAAGGTCATTATGATTTGGAACAGACTCCATTGCCTATAACCACCACCAGCTTTAGAGCATGTATCATTTTTTTGTCTTCCCTCATTACTCCAGTGTGAAAAAATTTAACTCTTTCTACCTTTTTTCTCATGAAGACCAATGTTCTATTTACAGAAAACAGTAAGTATTGATTTAGGACATTTTATTTTTTAATTGAAAAACCACCTTAGATAGTCACTAATTTGTAAACACTGTGCTTTCAATTGTAGTTTTACACTTAATATGATTCTATATAGAGAAATTACCTTACCTTAATCTGCTTGGCTGGGATTATTGTCTCTCTGTCAGAACAAAGAACCTTTTCCTCTGCAGACTTTTCAAATTGCTCCTTTAAAAGCTTAGTGGAGACCTTTGGTATCTCTTCATCCTCAGGTGTATCAATGACTACACATAGAAAAGAGTACCAACAATGTTATGCAAATAATAAAAACTATTTGATAAGAAAACATAATGACATGGGATACTTTTCAAAATATATGTTAAGTGAAAAAATTAATGTGAAAACGTCTATCTATGACTATTTCATTATGCAAGCAATATGATGAAGAAGATATAGGAAGACGATAGGAAATTTAGGGAAATGTTATTGGCAGGAAAGCCATAAGTGATCAAACAATTCTTTGTTTAATTGTATATATTTCCTGAACTTTTTAGAAGCATGCTTTACTTGTTGTTCAGGTTTACTTAGTGTTCAACAAAAAAATTAATTAAAAAAGTTGCACAACAAGAAAAGAACAAAAGAACAGAACAGAGACTTACTTTCTTAAGCAGTAAAACAAAAGTACAGATACAGTTAAGTAACATTTTGATTATAGTTGGTTTAACTCTTCCCTTCTAGCTCTTCAGGGGACAGCATGACTTCTCATGATGTTTTACATCCAAGGTGGCCTATACCTGTAATTCACATCCACCAGCTACTCTTCAGGAATATTCTTAAAAACCCTAGTTAAGGTCACTATGAGTCAATGGGTTTGGTGTTCCTTGTTACTATTGTTATGCAAATAACCCAAACCAAACCCACTGCTTATTGAGTCAATTCCCAATCATATGGACTTTCCCTAGGTCACCTGCACACATTTGTTCTTAGTCTAATCTCAGATCTATAGGCTGGAACACTGAATTTTATAGTGCTAATATTTATTATTAAAAGTAATACAATCTAGGTATCAGTTCCGTTCTCAGGAAGCTTGATAAACATCAAGTTGTAGTTTGAGTCTTTGAGGCAACAAACACTATAGGAGAGTTTGTTTCTTAGTGGGGAAGGGTGTGCTTTAGATTCAGTAGGAGAAAGTTTTATTGGGGTCAAATAATCTAACCAAACTGAAGAACAACAACAAAAGACTTTTACCTGTTTCTTGAACATATTGATGGAAATGAGAAGCAACTTGGTTTACTTCCTGGGTGTGCTTTTCTAGATGAGAGATCTGTGTTAAAAGAAATTTTAAACAAAATAATTGTTTTTAAGTAATTTATTTCAATACTAAAAACAATTTTCTTCATTTCACTGTGATTTTCACTGAAGACCTCTGAGCATGTTGAGAGGTGGTAACTAAGCCTGTAGCATTTATTTTAATGGATGGGCTCATGATATAATAGCACGAATTTGAATTTATACCTAAAGTTTGATTTTATTTTTAGGGTACTAGTTTTACATTTTAAGGAATGCTAACTCTAAAGTGGAGCAAGATACTTAGAAACCCTTAATACATAAAAGGCAATGAAAGCAATTGATTTCAACAAAGTCAGAATAGCCACAAAATTTTAGGAACTGTTGGAAAAGTATTATCTTTCTAAATAGTTACCTTTTCTGTTCCAAGCACTTCAGTGTCATGTGTTTTGGAAGCTTCTTGTTCCTTTTCTTTCATTTCCTGGCTACTTCTTGAAATGTTGACCTGGCTGCTACCAATTACCTCCTGAATAGAATAATGAACACATGAATAAACAAACAAGAGAATGCCTTAGGAAAGTCTGAAATTCTGAGTTTATGTGTTAATGTAATTTCCATAACAGAGACTACTAGAAAAAGAAAAAGAAATTAAGGTTCTTCAGTGTATTTTTCTCTATTACTGCTATAACAAACCACTGCAAATTCATTGTCTTTTAGTTTTGTGGGTCAGGTGTCTGAAATGGATCTCACCCAAATAAACTGGTTGACTAACTGCTTTCCTCTCTGGATGCTTTAGGGCAGAAACCATTCCTCTTCCTGTTAGAACTTCTAGAGCTTCCCACATTCCCTAGAGCCCCTTTCCCCCATCTTCAGAACCAGTAAAATCAAGTCTAGTTCTTCATATGCTGCTATCTCTCTGATGTGCTCTTTGGACTCTCTCTTTCACTTGTAAGGACCCTTGTTATTACATTTAACAGATTCTGATAATCCAGGAGAGTCCATTTTAAGGTCAATTGATTAGCAGCCTTAGTTCCATCTATACCTTAATTTCTCTTTTCCATGCAACCCAAGATATTCAAATGTTTTTAGGATTAGGATACAGATATCCTTGGGGGTTGGGATCATTATTTTGCCTATTACTCTACCTGTTAATGATGCATGGGGGTGGAGTTGCATGCCATGGGGTCAGTTCTGACTCATAGTGACCCTATATAGGATTTCAGAGGCTTAAATTTTTACAGGAGCAGAAAGTCTCATTTCTCCCATGGAACAGCTGGTAGTTTCAAACTGCTGAGCTTGAGGTTAGCAGCCCAACTCCTAGCCACTATGCTACAATACCCAATATGAGAAAGATGAAACTCAAAAAAGAAACGCAAGTCCTTGAAGACAAAAAAAAAACATACTTTATTGCTTAGACATCAAATTTTTATGTTAACTACAGCTATTCTAGTCTTCTAATTGCTCACCAAGTTAGAGCACACATGTAGAGTTCAATAGACTGTACATATTAAACATTTGTTATTTGTTATTAGGTGTCATTGAGTTGATTCTGACTCATAGTGACCCTGCATAGGGTTTCTGAGGAGAAGCTGGTGAGTTGAAACTGCGGACTTTGTGGTTCACAGTAAACACAATCATTTTAAAAAACAGGCTATATTGTATCTCTCATGAGGCTATTTTCTATTTTGGTAGCCCAGGCTAAATTAGAAACTTGGAATTCCTGTTAATTTAGAAGACCTAACCCTGCTTTTAAGGCAGAATATGTTTCTGAAATAATTATATGATTACTTGATTGATTAATATGATGAAGCATTTGGCATACTGCTAAAAGTCTTAACATAAAAAATAAGAATATAGACTACTTACATTTTACTAGAAGGCATGCATTTGAACTTTAAAGTTGGTGCTTCACATTAATCCTGACAGCTGTTACTAATTTATATTTGAGATCTAATTATATTAAATTTGTTTTCTTGTTGCTTTTAAGTGCCATCAAGTCTGTCCCAACTTACAGAGATACAGTTTCCAAGCAGTGGCTGGTCTGTCTGAACTGTAAGCCTTTTGGTTAGCTGTCCAGTGCATATCCTACAGCACCATACTCAGGACTTCACTATTTTATTTATTTTTTTATTCTTATTTATTTTACAGTGAATTTAGTACTTCCATTTTAAGCATTAAAATTTCAATCCTTAAAAACAAGAATAAGGTTCAAAATAATTCAAGAGAATTACTCTGCAAGTTTTTACTTAATATGTGGTCCCCTCCTGCCCCATCTTCCCCAAGGATATTTGGTATATATGGCTTGTCTTCTAATTGATTCATAGTGCCCTCAGACATTGACCTAAGAATGTATATTATGATCTGATCTTATACCATGTTTTAGGGAAGGAGAAAGAACCATGAAAAAAGTCAATAAGCTCTCAGATGTCCTAGAAATACTGATGGAACATTTAAAATACAGGTTATGTCTCATTAAACATATAACCAATGAAGATTTCAGTTTCCCCACAGAATAGTTTCTAAGTACCAGTTAATGATTCATAAATTTTAAATACTATTTGGTAACATGTGTGACATGCTGTTTATGCTAAGAAAAAAGTTCATTGATTGAATGAATAATGAATCAATGAATGAATAAAACAGGAAACTTTCATTAATAAATTAATATCATTCAGTCTTCTCTTGGCTAGGTAATGCCCTAGGAATTGGGTATAGAATCTAGAACAACAACAACAGAAAAGTGTACTTTACTTTCTCAAGAGCTCATATAGAAAAATAACTAACCCATGATCTTTCCTTTAAGTTTAAAGAATCAGAAGTAAAAGACGCTTTCCATAACCAAAGTATTACACTACAGAGATGAATAACAACCACTGAAGACTACAGATTAAAAAATACATATATATACATATATATGCAAATGACAACTCCTTGAATGAAAAGCTCTTTTCATCTGACAAGTCTTTTCATCCACAGAGATATAATGAGGATATTCTGTGACTTTCTTATGCACAGAATGAAAAACTCAGAGGTGTCTGTTAGCCAGACACTGAAAGAATAAAGGAGAGCGAACTTGAGCTATAATGAGGCCTTTATTATGGCACACCATGATCTTTCCACCAATGATCATCTGTCAGTTGGTCATACTGTGTGGGATGTGTGTGTGTGTTTGGCTTGTGTGCTGTTGTGATACTGGACGCTATGCCACTGGTATTTCAAATACCAGGAGGATCATCCAAGGTGGAGTGGTTTCAGCGGAGCTTCCAGCCTAAGACAAACTAAGAAAAAGGAGATATGGACCACTTCTGAGTGGTTAAGCACTGAACAACCTAAGGAAAACTGTAGATCATTCTGTGATATAGTGCCAGAAGATGAGCCCCTCAGGTTGGAAGGCACTCACAATCTGACTGGAGAAAAGCTGCCTCCTCAAAGTATGTTGTTGTTATGTGCTGTGGAGTCTGTTCCAACTCATAGTGACCTTGCACAGAGTTTCCGAGGCTGTAAATCTTTACGGAAGAGAAAGTCTTATTTTTCTCCCGTGGAACAGCTGGTAGTTTCAGACTGCTCACTGTGAGGTTAACAGCCCAATTGATAACCACTACGCTACCAGAGCTCCTTCCTCAAAGTATGGTGGTGGTGGTGGTGGTTATATTCCATGGAGTCTGTTCGGACTCATAGCGACCCTGTACAGGATTTCCAAGGCTGTAAATCTTTAGGGGAGCAGAAAACCTCATCTTTCTCCTATGGAACAGCTGGTAGCTTCGAAATGCTGACCTTAAGGTCCACAGCATGATTCATAAGCGCTATGCTATGTTGTTGTCATTGTGAAGTGCTATCGAGTTGGTTTCAACCCATAGCGACACTGTATAGGGTTTCTGAAGAGCAGCTAGTAAGCTTGAACTGCCGACCTTGCAGTTCAAACGGCTTTGCAGTCTGGCTCATTAACCCACAGTGCCACACCAGGACTGAGAAGAAACAGTTGTAAGTATCAATTAATGATCAGAACATGGAATGTACAAAGTATGAATCTAGGGAATGTGGAAGTTGTCAACAATGAGATGGAACACATGAATATCAATATCCTAGGCTTAAGGTTAGCGGTTCGAAACTACCAGCCGCTCCGCGGGAGAAAGACGAGGCTTTCTACTCCCGTAAAGATTTACACCCTCGGAAACCCTGTACAGGGTCGCTATGGGTCGGACCCGACTCGATGGCACTTAACAACAACAACAACAATTGTTGTTGTTAGTTGCTGTCAAGTTGGGTCTGACTCAAAGAGATCCTTATAAACAACAGAATGAAGCAATGTCCAATCCTGTGCCATCCTCACCATGGTTACTATGTTTGAGCCCAGTACTGCCGGCACTGTGTCAATCCATCTTGTTGGGGTTTTCCTCTTTTTTGTTGACCCTCCACTTTACCAAGCATGATGTCCTTTTCTAGGGACTGGTCCCTCTTGATAACATGTCCAAAGTATGAGAGAGGAACTCTCACCATCCTGACTTCTCAGGAGTGTTCTGTCTGTTCTTCTTTTAGCATAGATTTATTTGTTCTCTAGTGTCCATGATGGAGTCCTGGTGTTACTGGGGGTTAATGTGCTGGACTGCAAGGTCAGTTTCAACAGCAAGTTCAGCAGTTCAAGCTCATCAGTCACTCCTTGGAAACCCTATACAGGGTCCTATGGGTCGGAACTGACTCAATGGCACTTAATGATGATGATGACAGCAGTCCATGATACTTTAATATTTTTCTCCAACACCATAAATCCAATGCATTGATTCTTCTCTGGTCTTCCTTATTCATTGTCTAACTTTTACATGCATGTGACGTGATTGGAAATTCTGTGGCTTTGGTCAGGTACAACTTAATCCTAAAACTGATATCTTCACTCTTGAACACTTTAAAGAGGTCTTGTACAGCAGATTTGCCTAATGCAATATGTCATTTGATTTCTTGACTGCTGCTTCTTTGTTGATTGCAGGTCCAAGCAAAATGAAGTCTTTGGTAACTTCAATCATTTCTCCATTTATCATGATGTTGTCTATTGGTCCAATTTTTAGAATATTACGGTTTTTGTTTTTTTTTGTTTTTGTTTTTGTTTTTACAGTAAGCTGCAGTCCGTATTGAACACCATAGTTTTGACCATCATAAGTAAATATTGTAAGTCCTCTACACTTCTGGCAAGGAGCTCTGGTAGCATAGTGGTTACGAATCGGGCTGTGAATCGCAAGGTCAGCAGTTTGAAACTACCAGCTGTTCGGCAGGAGAAAGATGAGGCTTTCTGCTCCCATAAAGATTTACAGCCTCAGAAACCCTATACAGGGTCACTATGAGTTGGAACTGACTCCATGACACATAACAACAACAACAACACTTCTGGCAAGCAAGATTGTTTTCATCTGTATATCGTAGATACTTTTTTTTTTTTTTTTTTTGCATATCACAGATTCTTGTTAAGTCTACCTCCAATCTGGATGCCACATTCTTTTTCATATAATCCATCTTCTTAGATTATTTGCTTAGCAC